CTAAAAATCATTTTTAACTTAATTTCTTTCTTAATTAGTTTAAACTTAGTTTTGTTTAATTTTTAATTAATCATCTCTCTTAATTAGGTTAAAACCCCTTTTATAAAAAATCCTAACAAAAATCATTTCTTTTTCCATTTGCATTTGTACATTATTTATTCAACTATTGTACATTTATTCAATATGGTTGTAATAGTTAATTAGATTTAATTTTCTTGCAAAATCCCCATTTGTAAATTTGTATACCCCCTCCCCTAATGATGTAATAGCTTAGTATTTTTTTTACTTTCCGCAATTTATCGCTTTATATAAATGCTAGTAAATTAGGGTTTGTATGGAAAGATAAAATCAACAAGTTAGCAAACCCTAATTGAAGATAAACAAGCATGTAAATCAAACACACTTGCACACTTGCACCCTTAGGGTAATTCCACTTTGTTGCCTTACAAAAATAGCCATGTTATGCATGTGAGATATCTTAGCAAAAAGCAATCAAAAATACAAGATCATAGTCCCTCGATGACGCTATCAATGTTGCCTTTCAAAAATGATCTTAGTCCCTCAAAGAAAAATGCTAAGATATCTCACAACATTGCTATCATGGTTATATGATGATCCACGCCTGTCCCTTTACATCCAAACATAAGGCTTCTTACCAATCAATGGTAAGATAGCAATATCAAAGGAAAATAAAAAATGAACTAAGACTTTTGAGTAGGTAGATTGTTTCTAGTTGCTTGCTCATTTTCGAATCAAACATCCTTGCTTATTTTCAAAACCAACACCAACACTTTCAAAAATACTTTCGAAACATTTTCCAAACATGAAATATTTTCAAAATCTCAACACTTTGTATACGTTCTTACGAACGAGAACTATTACAAAGTTTTCCTAAACAATGGCGCCTTTTAAAAATTCTTTCAAAAACCATACAAAGCACATTTTCAAACAAAAGCAAGTGATCTAGCAAGCAACTAAGAGCCCATAGATAACTATGGATGAAAAGGGTGCTAACACATTCCCTTTTCATAATCTATCCCACGAACTCAAGAAACAATCTCAAAGGTCTTTCCTATTCTTTTCAGCCTTTCCTTTTGGATAAAAGAAAAGTCGGTGGTGACTCTTGTTAACCACAACATTTGCGATAAAACGCAAAACACCCAAGTCAGTTCTCCCACTGTATCACAACATGCCTTATGCCTTTACCATTTGTGTTGTCTGCTCATTCATGACTATAATAACACAAAGATAATATAATGGTAATTCAGCCAAAGTGTCAAATTTTCTAACGCGTCAGATCAGATCTCACATGTGTAATACCCCAAATGTGTCCTACCTCTTTCACTTTTATCTGGCTTATGCATTTTTCACTTTTCGCATGTACATAACTCCTATTAGGTCATCTAACACATCATTCATTCATTAATCGATATATTTAGCATGGGATCAATGTTCATAAACAGGATTAGGGTTTTATCAACTAACTGAGGTGTATATGTTCAACAGAGCTTGATTCTTCTGGTTATTTTTCAAGGCAGTGAAATTGTACAATTAGGGTTTCTTTAAGGCATTGAGGCTCTTATCTTCATCCAAGGAATTCAAATTGTTTCTTCAACAAGATGGGAAAGATACTAGGGTTTTAACTTGTTATGCTTCATCAAGAATTCAATTGTAAGCTAAGGTTTTGGTTCCCTCCATCACCTCAAGCTACCTTGATTATCAAATTTTATCAAAAGCAAGTGAACCAGGGTTTGTTACTCATCATATTTGAGCTTGTTGGTGTTCAACAACTGAGGTTCATTGAGTTTCATGTCAAGGTATCCTATTGTGCTTCAAGTCCTGCCTTTATCAAAGGATTAAAGGCATTGTCTATCTTGTTATTCATCAAGTCGAGATATAGTGGGTTTGGATTGCGAAATGCAAGCCATGGTGCAAGAGATGAGTTTGTGGATTCATTGTAATAAAGGCATCATTATTCTTTCGCATACTTGTTGCTTGTCATGAAAGTTTGCTTAAGATTGGAAAATTGAATTGAATATAGGGCTTCATTGAGAATGGAAGCTTAATTTGAGATATTCATTCAAGTTCAAGATTATTCAAGCATTATTCAAGATACCAAAGTTCATTTAAAAAGAATCATCAAAATACCAAATTCAACATCTTTCACTATCCTTCAAAGTTCATCAAAATCCACTTAGGGATTCAAGCAATTTCCCACCATTTCACCATTCATCTAACCTCATTGTACATGGCTCGCAATTTTCAAGTCCATTCACATGGCAATTTACAAGAAAAGCTCTCTCAAAAGATAATCATTCATCTTTGAGTATGCAAGTTTGGCCAACTTCCAAATATCATTCCATTCAAAGTATACATGAAGGATAAGGAATTATTAGCCATTACAAAATACCATAACCTCACTATAACTTACATTACAGTTTCCAACATATATACCATTACACACATGGAACTTTACATAACAATTAGAACCTATTCTAATCCCGATCGTTCTTTATGTCCATCATGCTTCTAACTTTGCACCAAATTCCCTGTACCCTATCTTTCAGTCTTGTCTTGCTAATGGACTTCAATGTCGTGCTTCTTTTGAAGGTCAATCCCAACTTGTACCCTTTCCATAACAACCTGCATATAGGCAATAAAATAAAAAAACAGTACATCAGTTACAATATCATTACAAGACATGCATGTTGAGCTAGCAGTTGACATATGAAACCCAATGCAAAGTCATGAACAGAACCTGCAGTAATTAATAAACAAGACAGAGTAAATTACTCATTCAATAATTTGATCCAAGTGTGAAAGGGATGAAAAAACCAACAACCTCTCTTAACTACCGCATAACAGAAATGCCTCCAACTTCTACCAACCTATAACAACCAAAAGAGAATGGACTCTAAAAAGGATTTCCAGCTGGCCTCTAACAGAAAAGCCTATAACCATAACAGAATTTCCAAAGAGAGCTATAACAGTTAACAAATTGTCTTAACCGAAACAACCACCTCAGCATAAACTATCAAAACAGAACTTCCATAACCCCTCTAAACCGGCCCACAACAGAATTCCCTAACTGTTTTTAACTAACTGTAACCAATGCTAACAGTTTAGAACTACCCTTAACCCCTCTCTTAACTGACTTCCCAATTTTCCAACAGAATTAACAAAAAAAATCAACTCACCTGTAATTGTTAACAAACTTTTCCTAACTTCCTCTAACAGCCACAAACAGTTTCAGTCATAAGCATAACCTATATCCAAAAAAACCATAACCCTACAAACTCCCGCTAACAGAATCTGAAACCTATAACCAACTTCCCAAACAGATTTACTAACAGAAAAGCAAAACAGAACTTCCATAACCCCTCAAAACCTCCCAACCGAATCCCCTCTAACCTCTCTTAACAGTTTCTAACTAACCATTCTAACGACCCCTAACTGTTTCTAACTCATTCAACAAACTTCTCAACAGAATTCAGAAGAGAAGAAAAAGGAATTTCACAATTCAGTTTACACAAGAAAGAGAAATCAGTTAGAGATCTGACCTTTTTCAACCTCTCTCCCTGCAATTCCTCTGCAAAAAACCTTCATCTTTCAACACCTTCACGCTCAATCAATTTACATCTTAATTCAATCTTCACCTCCCTCAGATACTTGCCTTCAACCACCATCACAACTTCATCACGAGAATTCTTGAGTATTCCTCGATGATCATCATCACCAACGAAAATCAAAACCTGGGAAAATTCTTGCATCTTTCACTGAATCAGCTGCACAGTTCTTCTACAAATCACGCTTTAACATCGTCTTCATCTGTGAATCGCATACTCCAGCCTCGCGGTAATCTTCCTCAACAACGCGCAAGTTCTGCACATCAAAATCAACGTTGCCACGGTAACAACGATTCATACAAAAAAAATGTAAGATATAGACGAAGTGCTGAAATAAGTGTATACATGAGTTCTCCTAACTAGATTTCTGGTTTTCAATATTGCACAAGAGGCACCATTGGAGCGACTCCGACCGGTAAGTCGTTCCTTCTCCGTTTTCATCTTATCTTCATTGTTCTTGCTAGAATGAGAAATGAATTATGTTGTTCGAACAAGCTGAGAGAGTATTGTTGTACCCTAAATTTTGCCCCTAACTTTTTCAGTCGCACTTTCATATCATATTTTGTCAATTGGTTACAATCATTAGTAAATAGCTTTGTTCATCACATTTGTATCATTAATCGTGTTTAAGTTGACCAAAAGTCAATTTAAATCGACATTTACATCATTCTGTAGTTGAAAAATACCCGACATTTCACTTCATGCATTTTTATCTCTTTACTATTTTCTTTCATCACTCCAAGTTGTTTATGTGTCGATATAAATATATTTTGGTTTTACAGACAGACTGTTAAAAGCAATTCGACATTGTGCGGAAAATTAGCGAGAAAAATATTTCAAATTTTCACCTTTTATCGATCATTTTATGAATATGCGTTTCGCGTAAATTATGATGGTATGCTCGCTTTATTTTTCGATACAGTTTGAAGTCTTGTTTTTAACCGTAAACGTCTATTTAGTCTGATATTTTATTATCATTTTATTTCGATTTTGACTTTTTGAATATTTTTTCTTTAATCTTTGTGACATGTACTTTATTTTAATGTGTTCATTTTATTTTTTCGGATAAATTTTTGTCTGTTTTTTATTGTTTTCAGTCATTTTGGGTCTTTATTTTTTTATTCAGAAAAAATTCAAAAAATATATTTTTTATTGAGTTATTTTTTATACTTTCAGGTTTTTATTTTATTTTTGTCATTCAGGGACTTTTTGGTCACAAAAATATATTAATTACACTATACTTTATTTCTATTGGTTGTTGACAAAATTTGAGGATTAAATTATGAAAGAACATGATTAATTAGAAATCAATATTCCTCTTCATTTTCTCTATTTAAAGCTTCTTTACCTCTTTGTAATCACAACACACACAAAAAAAAAATAGTGGCATACTCCCTTCTCTCACCACCACCTTTCATCTTCACTGTAACTCACCTTACTCCCTCAATTCCTCACTTAGTTTCCCCCCTCCAAACATCCCATCCTCAATTCCACCCTTCATCAATTACTCTCACCACTTCACCTTTGTACATCACCAATCCACCTAATTCCCTTCACCGTCTCTCCGCGAACAACAACCATTACCATAAACCACCAACTTTTGTCTCCTCCCAACAACATTCCGCCTCACTCAATCAACCCTTCCTCCACATGCTTCCACCTCCCACCCTATTTCTCTCATCAAACCACATCTCACCATCCTCATCAATTCCGTAACTAATTATGTTCAAATATAACAACAACAACAACCTCCAATTCCGCAAGCAATTTCAAGACAACCTCTCATCTGTTTCCGCAAGCATCTCAATTCCGCTTGCTTCTAATTCTGGCCAATTCATTCCCGCACATCGGCACCTTCGATGTTCTCTAATCAGCACCAACAACATTCCATAAGTGTTTCTCCAGTCGATACCACCTCTGTCGGCATCGTATCGCACCTGCGACTTTGGCACTTTCTGTTCAGCAACAACACTCCTTCTATCAAGTTGGTAATTTCTAATATCCTTACTTTTGATTGAGATTAATTTATGGAATTGCTACAAATGTCATAAAGAAAAAAAAACTGTTGATAAATTTGGTTTGTTATTATCTTGATATCGCGATTTATCGGACTGTTTTGAAAAATAAATTGGTGATGCATTTATTTGTTAGTGATGAAACTATGGATATATATTATTGAATTTAGTGTTAATAATTTATTTGTTTCATGATAAAGCTTGTATCAAAAAAATTCTAGTTTTTTCATGTTAAATTGTGATGAAGAATTTGTTACGGTTATGTTGCCCAGATTTGGTTTATTTGAATAATTCTTGAATTGTAATCAATTTTTCATGTTTGAAGTTAGAATTAAATATTGGCATGAGTTCTTTGGTGTTAGTTTTGTTTGTGAATTTAAATAATTGAATAATTGATTGTTTGGTTCTTGTTTTGTTCACCTTTTGAATTTAATTGAAACACCATGGGTTGTTCATACTTGTGCATCAGTGTCGATTTTGTTTTGTAGTTTGAATTGCTTTAAAAGTGGTTTTGATAATGTTTCAATTGAACTCGATTCACAAAATTTGTTGGTTAATATCGGCTTTTATACATACGTTTGGAAATTGATTTTTCATGAGATTTTACGATGTCCAACTTTTGATTTGCATATTTAAGTTTGATTTTTCATGTATCGGATTGAATTACATAATAATTCTTGATTTTGACTTGTCTAAATATCCATTTGTTCATATGCATCATACAAGTTGATTTTGATTTTTATACTTTGTGATTACTAACATAAATTCAAATCTTGTTGCAATTTCATTTATTTTTATTTTTATACCGCTTGTGCTACTAACACGTTTATTACTGTGAAGGTTACCAAAAAATCAATTTCAAGTATTCATTCCCGCATAGCGCGTCCATAATTCCTACCATTCTCCCTTTTACCTCTTTATTTCATTTCACTATTTCGATTTTATATTTGGTAATGTAAATATATACTTATACATAATATTTTGATTGTATATTTTATTCACTTCATTTGTAAATAAATTCAGGTTATGTAAATATTATTTTCATTGCATTGCGATTTTAATTTTAATTCCAACTAACTTCTGAAAAATGTACGGACGCACATAGGCTTCCCGTGCTATTAGTTTTGTCTGTATATTTCCTGTGATTCAGGAAATCTTATACAATGAGCTTTATTCGATATCTTGAGCCTTATCCGGTACCATGAGCGTCATCGATGATTTCTTTTTTCCGTGATTTATTTTCACGTGTTGCACTTCTTGCTTATGATTCATTGTGCTTTATTCGCTGCTGGGAGTATTATCTTACATCTGGTTTTTTGATGCTGTCGACTTGTGATTTATTTGCACCTAAGGTTTGGTATACTCTTACCTTATTTTTTTCTGTTTGTGGCTTTAAACCCAAAGGGATGGGAATACAGTATTGACTTCATCATGTAAAGTACTGGTTTCTTATTCGATCGGATTCGCTTTACCGTATCTTTTACCCTCCTGTACATTGGACACTCTTTTCTCCCTTTCTTTAATTTTCAAAACTTTCTCATCTTTTTCAAAATATTCTTTGTTTATAAACTCAAACCTCTTTCATAATAAACCTCGACTTTGTCGGGTGCTTTTCTTTTAAAACTTCTTTTCTTTTAACAAACTTCAATACATTTAATCATACTTTGACATCTTTCAAAATTAACAAAAACAATTCAACTCATTCAAACTTTTTTGTGCGTTCGAGCACCCTTACCCTTCAAAAACGTTTTTCAAGATGAGACATGATTCATTGATAGTCGAGCAACATTCTTATATCCCTATGGTCATAAACATGTCGACTTTTCCACTTGAGTACCAGAGGCATTCTCAAACCCTCACTCTTGCTGACGTAGGGTCCATCTTTCTCATACCTTGTGGGCGTTAGTCGAGATTTCTCTCCTAACAATGACGACTTGTCTCCTTGTTTAAAAACAATCAATAGACAAGTCTTTTCTTGCCGAACTACGGTGCTCTGACTTTCCCATTGCACGAGGGAGTACGTAGGCACTAAGTCTTACTATCCAAGGCGAGCAACAAAAATAATAAAAAAACATTTTCTTTTGTTTGCAAATAAAAATGTATTCTTTCCCTTTAGCAAGTAAACCTTTACATGACACTCCTTTTAAAAGAAACCAAACAAAGTGGATCCTGTGGAATACCACAGATGCTTAGGGTGTTAATATATTCCCTTTGCATAACCGACCCCCGTACCTCGATCTCTGATCTTTTTGGGTTTTGTTCGCTTTTTTCCCATTTCCCTTTGGAAACAATAAAGTGCGGTGGCAACTTCATTGTGTTGATTGAAGTCAATTAATGGCTTAAATCTCAAATCTTTACTGCTACATTTCTTTACATATCATCACTGTCGCAATTGAGCGCCAGAAAAGTGTGCGACAAGTATGATCTGGCGTATCGTTGATGTTGAGTTTGGTGAAGTTCGAACCTCGAGGAGATGAACTGCGCCCATGAGACGAATTCTGAGACGAAGAAGGATAGGCGACCCTGAGGTGGAGATGGAGAGGATGGGAGAGAAAGAACCACCGCGTACGTTCGAGAGAGGAAGAAGAATTGGGATCGTCACCCCTAAAACTCATCCCTAATCCATCTTTCTATTTGTTTTATTTTATTTTATTTTATTTCTTTTTAGATAAACATTAAGGATGGACTGGTGTTATGGGAAAGAAACAAACTGAATTGTCCTGCTGGGCTTGGCCCATAGCCATTATTTTCCTTTAGAATCAATTTGCTTACAAAAAAAACTTTGTATTGTTGGACCGAGCAGGTTTCCCTCCTAGGCCCATTCCCTTTTGATTTTTTTTTTAGCTTGATATTATCATACAAAAACAGCAGATTGGATCCTGTTTGGATGGGCCTAACGACTTTTCTACTGAATCTAGCGCCCAATGCCAGCTTAATGCCCCTCCTTTTGAGTCTTGGTGGTTTTAGTTTCTAGCCTTTTTGCTTGATGTTTTTGAGTTCATTTCTCTTTTGAATTTCAATTATCGAAAACAATTAATGATTAAAAAATAATAATGCAAAAACATTAATAAAAAAGATTGTAGAATATAATAGAAATTTTTAGAAATTAATTCTTTAGTTTTTTTAGAATTTTCCTTACATAAACACTAATAAAAAATACACATTTTTCTCGTAGTTTTATCCATATTTTCATGCCGCTTTTCCATGTTATTTTTAACGTGTTTGTTCACTGTGCAAGGTATATTTTTGTGCTTTCGATCATATAACATAACAAGTAGTTATGTGATCGAAGCATACGGCTTATGCTCGCTACTGATGTGACGCGCCTTATTTCTCATCGTCTTGAGAAATTCATATCGTATTATATGTTGTCTTGATACATGCGATACTTTATAATATCTTATGCATGAACTTCTGATTACGCGTTGCGTTCGCAACACGCATTTGCTTTTATCTTAGTTGGATATTATTTCTGACTTTGTTTGTTTCTTGGTGAAGCTTGCTCGACGCGTACTCCCTGCTCCTCCATTGCTTTCGTCCACTCTTGACGATTTGCATGCTTTGGTAGTCGCCGCTACTACCTCCGTACTTCTTCGCACTTTACTACATTTCTTTACCGCTTTTCAAGATACCATGAGAAGTAGGAAATAAAGAGCGTGCATTCTAAGTCGCTGTTTAAAGACCTGTAGCAGGCATTCCGCACTTTATTTGCTATATGTGTTGTGCTTGTGTTTGCTTCTTTGTTTGTTGATCGATGAGTCACTCAATTTAGAAATTTAGATCACGACTTCGCTCTCAATGCATGCTCCCTATAGGATTTTATCACTTTTCTTTATTTCTTGTTGAGCGATGAGTCACTCAATTTAGAAATTGAGATCACGACTTCGCTCTCATTGCATGTTCCCTATAGGATAGTTTTGTTAGACTTGCTTTGGCATGCTAACCTAGGTAGGATCTCTCTAGGTGTGCTCTCTTAAGTTTATTAGCTTGTTTGCTTTATACTTATACATACCATGTTCCCTTAGGATATGCTTTCTCCCTTCGAACGCAAGTTAGACTTTAGGTTGTAAGCCATGCAACATTAGGTAGACGTTTCCCTTTTGTTAACCTAAACCTTAGGACTACCATTGTATGATAACATTAGGTTAGAAATAGGCTAGTCTCTCTTTGACTTTTCTTTCTCCTTTTACATTTGCATAAAACAAAAAAAACTTCTTTTTCGTCCAAACTTCAAAACACTTTAAAACTACTGATGAGAATCATGCCTTTGCTTAGTATGGGAAATGATAAGCGGGTCCCTTCTCTATCTTATTATTCTTCATCTCAAGCCTAGGTGTGGTTCAAGTCTCAAAGACTCCTTTCATGGATAAATGGAAAAGTGGCTAATATCTCTCTCTCTCTTGAGATCAACTAGCCATTATCTGCAACAAGATACAAACCAATCAAGTAGGGCATCTTGCCTCGAGGGCGTAACTCGAAACCCTTTTCAAGCAAGGACATGATTAATTTACTTGTGTCAACGCATAAGTCTCCAAAGGTTGAGCTGTGGCAGAAGGCGGAATTAACATTGTCCATAAAAAACACAAACAAACAAAAACATTTAAAGCTGAAATACGGTAGCTCTGATTCCTCAAAAAGGATACGTAGGCATTGGGGTAGGGCTCAAGCGAGTACAACTTTATTTTCCCTACATTTTTTTCT